GTGGGTGTTTAGGACCACATGTCAGAAGGCTGGGTCCTGGTCCTAGCGCTAATGCCTTGTGCAAACTACTGTACCCCTTGGGGTCAGCATTGTGTGCCTGTGGAGCATGAGGGACTTGCTTGAAATCATCTCCAAACTACTCTCTGGTTTTAAAGGTAGTGATTCTGTGACTTTGCATTGGATTTTGGTTCTTGGAATAATAGTAAAGCTGATGCAAGTGAAAATTTTCTTAGGTGGAATTTTAATTATTTAAATAATAGCCAACTAAGCCTGGTTTACTGCCCCTTCCTCAAATAAAGGACAAAAATCCTCCAGAAAGGTATTCCATATGCCATTCTGCTTGCCCTCCCATCCTTTGCTCCATGTGACCATCACATGAACTGAAGGCAGACACCCCTTTTAATTATTACAAAGTCCTATGGCTATTTAAGCCTGAGTTGAAACTGACTTCATAAAAATAGCTGCAGAGAGGGTTTTTTTCTTTCTCTGTTCACGTGGTCATGGAGTACAGTATCCATGCAGAGTTAGAATAATCTTCCCTAAGACTATTAAATATTTTTTAAACCTGTTCCCTGCCCAGCCTCTGCATAGGGCTTTCCTGTTACACCTGCGGGCTGCCCTGTGTTAGTGTGTGGGAGGAGGTGGACTCAAGCAAGGCATGGTGTTCTGGGCCCTTCCGAGAGGTTCAGGCCTTTACAAGCAAGGCTTTGATTCTATTTTTTGCTGAACTAGCTCAGCCACTTCCTGTGTTTGGCTGCGCATAGTGCCTCGCTTCACTGTGGCCACTTGAGCCTCGCGAGCCAGCGAGCGCGCTGCCACAGCCAGTTAGACTATTTTAGGTCCCCGCACAATGGCCTTCTCATTTCCTCGGCGAAAATGAGCGAGTTGCGCTGGCATTGGCCACTTGTTAGCAGATGACAACTTTGACTTTGACTTGGGCTCCCCTCCCCTCCCCGAAATCCCTAGCTCAGCAAATATTTGAACCTGCCCAAGTTAATCATGAAGCCGCGATCTTTATCTAAGAGAGCCGTGCAAGCTCCTGGGCCTTTTCCCTCTCCAGTACTGTACCCACATCCAGCGGCTTTCTCCGTGGGGAGCCGGCGGTGAGGGCGCAGCTGCAGCGGTGACGGACGGCGCTGCTAGGGCCCCGCGCTCGTCCTGTCTGTCCCGGGGGTCCTGCGCGTTCTCGGGGGCGGCGAGCACCGCCTGCTGGAGCTGCGGGGGGAGACGTGGGGGCTGCTCGCGGTTGCTGGAAGAATAGCTTTTTGGATTTTTTTTTTTACATTGTCGGATACAGGCATTCAAAGAGAAACCGTTGAAATGCATAACCTGCAAAGTAAGTTGCTTTTAATTTGTGCACTTCTCTGCCCTTTCGCTGTTGCGCTAGGGGATTTTTTTTTTCCCCACTTCTGTGAAATGTTCTTGTGTGTGTGTGTCTGTGTGTGTGTCAGAGAGAGGGAGGGATTGTAAGCGCTCCCTGGGAAGGGCAGATGGCAGATTAGGGGAGATACCCCCCATTTCCTGGAGGGGCATAGTGTGAATGAAAGGTAGGGGTTGGGTTGAGAACGGGGAGGGAGGTAATTACGAAGTGCTTGGCTGGAAGTTGGTGTGGGGCCAGGACTGGGAGAGACGTGGAAAATCACCTGTCTCCCTGCCCTCCTCCCTGGGTGGCTGTGCCACATGGGCTCCCAGCAGGACTGGTTTGCGCCAGGTTCCCCCAGAGGCGTGGGGTGGCTCCTCTGCCGGTCGCTCCACAGCTGCCCAGAGGCTTGTCTCCCCCCTTTTTTTTTTTTTTGCCGGGGTAGGGGGGGGGCTGCTGGGGGAGGAAGAGGAATCAATATTTTTATTAAAGGGAGAGATTTTTTTTTTTTTCTGAATCTTATCTGAAAGCACCCCCACCCCACTTTTCCCATTTTTATTTAAATTTGAGTGTAGGTTTACTTAAACCCTTAGGCAAATAGAAAAGTGAGTCGGTGAGGGTGGGAGGGTATAGGCTGGTTCTGCCTTCCTGGTTAATGGGAAGATGAATTAAACTGGGGAGGGGATTCAGGTGAACTGTGCTCAGAGAACCGCCTGCCTTTGCTCTCCTGTTTTATGTATTTTATGGCTCTAAATTTGGTAGAAAGTCTAAAAGTAAATTTTTAGGGTTTCTGTGCTCTTTAAATAATCACCCAGACATGTATGTAGATCACAAAGCCCCTTTTAGTTTTTTAAGTCAGCCGCACTTACATGGGAGGGGGGAAAAATTCTTTTTCCCTCTTCCTCTCCTCTCATCACAATGTGAAGAGAGACCGTTTCCCAAGGGGAGAGCACAGTAGGCTCCAGGGAGAGCAGCAGCAGTATATGCAGAAGTGTTAAAGAACAACGATTAATAACTAGGTTTATAGGGGAATTGATTTCTTCACGTTAAATATTGCTCAGAAGGAATAGCAGTATTTGTCCCCAGTGCGAGGCATTGGAGATAGAGGGGATAAAAGCCCCCCAGAAGTGATTACATCACTCCTCCCTCAAGCAGTGTTAGCACAATACATCCGAGATGGGCCCAGCAGTGAGAAATACTTTGCCAGGATAACTCAACCCCCCCCACCCCCCCGCCGCCCCCGGCCCCTTCATGCTGATACATACGGCCTCGTTCCTTTTGGAAGACACAGCTTACCTTGACTAGTCTTATGAGACAGTAATGTTAAAATTCACATTAATAATGTTGACAGTTATGTAGATTCTATCTGCCAACAGACCTCTTCATTCCTGTTAAGAATTTTCCATGTCAGTTCATAAAGTCTAGTTTTGACTTTGCAATGTTTGGTGGTGGAGGAGGAGATTTTGCCTGTATGTCTCCTTTTAATTGTGCTTTCTAATGTGGTACATTTGTGACAGTGTTTAAGTTCTAAGTTTTCAGTGACTTACGTAGGGCTGAAATACCCAGAGTCCTTTCTGCTTTTAATATATAGGGGAGGTATTTAAGGATTGTAAAATATGTCATAAATATACCACTTTGATGCATTTGTAAGATTTTTAAACCGAGGAATGATTAGGCTATCTAAAAACCCAGATGCACTAGAGGGGGGAAAAAAGCGACGTGCTGCAGCATATCAGCTTTTGTCGCCCTGCCAGCAGTGGAGCGTACCATGCTGCAAGGAGTAATAAAAAAGGAATTAGGAAACTCACTGCTGGGGGAGAACAGTCAAATTAAACACCTTTTGGAAACGATGAGCATGTATACATTGCAGTTCTATTAAATGTAGGTTCTTAGTGAGGCTGGGATTGTGCGAGGGCTGGTATACAAGAGAAATGATGAAGCAGGAGTGGTCTGGTGACATTTTTCCAACTTGATTGGCTGGGGTGTGTGATGTAATAGGTTACAGTGCAGCCCCTTATAGGTTTTAAAATGAATTCCAAGACACCATTACAAAGAAAGCCGGACTCTTTTCTTATAACTGAGCTCAGCCAAGGAAACTCTCGCACAAATGTACAACACTGTTTGGACTATGGAAGACCTGGATTTAGAATATGCTAAGACAGATATAAATTGTGGTACAGACTTGATGTTTTATATAGAAATGGATCCACCAGGTAATATTGCAGTATTCTTGTAGAAAGCTAGTTAATTTTGTGGCATTTTGTTTTATTTTTGACAGCTACTGTAACGGAGCCTCTTTAGATTTCTATTTTTATTAATTTGTTCTAATTTAATAAGAATTAGTTTGATCATAGCTTGAAAATTAAACCAGTTGACTGCCTGTAGAAGCAAGCAGATCAGGCTGTATGTGGTGAATGCTTTCTTACTTGAATGGATATGAATGGGATGCCAGTTTTTCACTAGTGTCTTTTGTTAAGATTTTTTTGCTCTCTGGGTTATATTGTTGTGTATCGTTCCTTTAATGAAAATTATGCCTCCTTTGTGCTGCTTTTCTCTGTTGACAGTGGATGAGAACAGTGGTGTACTTTTGCAGTGATAACACTTGGTACTTTAGAAAGCCTGTAAAATGTAGCAGTGATTGCAACTCAGTTCTAGGCGACCTGCAACTATTCTAAATCAAATGTGAGACTTTGCCTGCTCTCTCATATTCAGATACTGTAATGAGAAAAGAAGCTGGCTCTCCATTCCTTAGTCCTAGTCTTTATAAAATATTCTTGATAGACTCCTGAAATGATTTTTATATAAATTAAAATAGCACATATGCTTTGAAACTTATGACTTAGAATTTAGCAAAAAATCCTAGACTCATTTTGCTTTCTAAATTATTTCATCCATTAACCCTCCTCACAATTAAGAAATTTCAGAAACACTGTAGCCTTTCATTTGTCACCAGTTGGTATCTGAATACTGATTTGACATTGAGGAACAGGAATATGGTTTTTAATCAGTCGGAACATAGAGCACAGTTTATTCAATAGAATATTAACACGAACACTAAAGAGGTTTAGGTCACAACAAGTTTCTTAAGGTGGCTTTTGGCAGCACAGTGGCTGAAATTCCAAGATTAGAGATACCTAATTCTCTTCTTAAGACATACTGCTGTAGATGAGCTTCTTTACCACAACAGCATTTGTGGAGAGCAGAAACCGAATTTGTCTCTTATAATTAAATAAGAAGAGGAAATTAAAGCCAACCCATGTGATCCCTCCTGCCCCTCTGTTCGTCGTTTCTGACGTTAGGTGGACTTGACCAGGCACGAAACTTGAATGTAACTAGAACCTGGAAGTAGAAAATGGCATGGCTCTGGATTCACTCTGAGAGCCGTTCACGTGGCCAGCCCAATTTATTTGTTAGTCTCCAAACTGTTCTCTTTCAGTTTCTTTTCTCTTTGAGCCATACTCTGAAAGGTGTCTGATTTTTTTTTTCCCCCTTGGAAGAAAATTATCATGTTTCATGGAATGCTGAATGATTGCTGTATTTCAGTTACTCTACTTTTATCTCAAGAAATTTAGGTCTACTTTAAAATGTTTAATTGTAGCCTGGGGTTGCAAACAACTTTTTCTTTCTCCTTAATCTACAGCACTGCCTCCTAAGCCACCAAAACCCACTCCTGTAGCCAACAACGGTATGAATAACAATATGTCCTTACAAGATGCTGAATGGTACTGGGGAGATATCTCTAGGTAAGCCTACAGAAGCGCTTGGTTTTCACCAGAGAGAGAGAGGGTTAGATCAAGAGAAAGAAAAGCACCAGCTTGCTAAGTTCCATTTTTAGGACATCATCCAACATAAGCAGGAAGCATACTTGGTTCTCTTCCAAAGATGATCAGAGAAGTCCATGAGCCACTGGAGAGCTGTAGGTGCTGGATGCCACAGGAAATTATTACAAATACCCAAGAAGCCCAGTTATCGAGAGAGTTGTCAGGGAAGCACCAGGATGAACTGATGCTGCCTAAAGGCAGTGGGGAAGCCCGCTCCCTAGCAGGCAAAACTCTAAGAATTAATATTATTATTATCTTACACATAATAAAATAAAGTGGCATTTTTATTCTTAGCCTTTTAGAGGGGAGGTGGGGAAGAGACCTCTTTGGGATCATGCATGCTTGCTTTGATTTTTTAGGGTGTTTGGTTAAAAAATAAATTAAAACTTTGCACCACAGTTATACATACCAATAGTGAAAGTAGGTGTGTTTAAAAAAAAAAAGCAAAAAACTCCTATGCACTTGTTTATAAATGAGATGGAGTTTGTAACATTTTTTCATGTAAACAGAGGATAAATTGTTAAGCTCTGACAATGTAAAAAATAAATGTAAATCTATGGGATAGGGGTTATAGAGGCTTTCTCTGTACTTCCTGGTCAGTTTTGCTGTGAACCTAAAATTGCTGTAAAAATTAAGTCTATTGAAAAAAATGCACATAGAATCACTACACCCCCAAGGTGAGCACTGTCTTGTGTTCTTTTCACTTCAGGGAAGAAGTGAATGAAAAGCTTCGGGATACAGCTGACGGGACCTTCTTGGTACGAGACGCATCTACTAAAATGCATGGTGATTATACTCTTACACTAAGGTGAGTCCAAGAATGTAGGTAAAATTCAGGTGGTTCAGGTTTGACATTAAAGTGTATTTCTTTAAAGAAAATTGTAATGCCTTTATATTTGTGTTGTATTTACAGGAAAGGAGGAAATAACAAATTAATCAAAATATTTCACCGAGATGGGAAATATGGCTTCTCTGACCCATTAACCTTCAGCTCTGTGGTTGAATTAATAAACCACTACCGGAATGAGTCTCTTGCTCAGTACAATCCCAAGCTGGATGTGAAATTACTTTATCCAGTATCCAAATACCAACAGGTAATCAAATACTCGTTGTTATGTTATTTAAATAAGATGCTTTTAATGCTTAGAAACACTTTGAAGCAGGTGAATTACACATAATGAAATTTGAAAAGCTTTGTACTCGTAATCACAAAATTACATTTGGAGAAGCTGAATAAAATACTTCAAGGATTTTTGCATGTTAGATATTTTGCTAAACAGTTTGTAATTGATTAAATACCTTATCAACTGAATTTCTTTTCGTTATGCTCTCTAATCCTTCTAGGATCAAGTTGTCAAAGAAGATAATATAGAAGCTGTAGGGAAAAAATTACATGAATATAACACTCAATTTCAAGAAAAAAGTCGGGAATATGATAGATTATATGAGGATTATACCCGTACTTCCCAGGTGAGTTTTCTGGGAAAATCAGATTAAAATTTTAGCAGTCTGAGTTATTAAAACATAACCTTTTCTACTCTTCTTTTGAAGCTGACTATAATATGTATTGAGTGTTTGCAAATAAAGTAGGGGGAAAGATCATTTGTTAATCATTGTTGACTGTCCTAGTAATTTTTTCATTGTATCTCTAAACCATGTAAATGAAGCCTGTGTCAGAACAGTAAATCAAGTTCACAAGATAATCGAAGAGGTTGCTGAATTTTAAGTTGATTTGATGTAATTCTCTACTGAACAGTTCTTTTTAGAATGGAAGCTAATAATAATTAGAAGTTCCACAGACATGTCTAATCTCAGAAATAGAAATTTAATCATTATATACTCTCCTGTGAAAAACACAGGCAACACTTAGTGTTTTGTTTTCCTAGAGATGTAATCTGCTCTAGGCCATCATGTGTCTGGGACCGGCAGGGGGAGTAGAAGGCAACGTGGATGTCATAAACTACTGATAAAGTGGGATGGCCTTCACAACGACAAAAACTTAGGAAATTACCAAGCAATCATCTACTATAGACTGAAATAATTCCCAAAGGAAATACGTACTTTCTGTGGTGGTATTTTAGTGGGCGTTGTGAGGCAGAGTACCACCTTGCTAACAAAGTACTTATATGCTCGATAATTATACGGATCAGATATCCTGGGAGTGTCTCGCAATAAGAAATTACCTGTTCTATGAAAGGTGTGACATGGTCTTGCTAAAACTGTGTTGCAGGAAATCCAAATGAAAAGAACAGCTATTGAAGCATTTAATGAAACCATAAAAATATTTGAAGAACAGTGCCAAACCCAGGAGCGCTATAGCAAAGAGTACATAGAAAAGTTTAAACGGGAAGGCAATGAGAAAGAAATACAAAGGTTGGTCAACCGTGAGCATTCCCTTTGTCCTTGTGCCAGAGATAAGCAGACTCTTCTACAACTGCTTAAAAATGATCTCGCTTTCTGTGCTTTGCATGGTTAAAAAACAATGGGAAGAGAAAGCGTTCTTTACCTGACGGAAACCTTCATGATGAACCTGGGCAATTACAGGTGCATTTCTCTCGCTTGCAGGATTATGCATAATTATGAAAAGCTGAAGTCTCGAATTAGTGAAATTGTGGACAGCCGAAGGAGGCTGGAGGAAGACTTGAAGAAGCAGGCAGCTGAGTATCGGGAGATTGACAAACGCATGAACAGCATTAAGCCAGACCTCATCCAACTGAGAAAGACGAGAGACCAATACTTGATGTAAGTTGTCGGAAACAGAACCCTGTAAGGGAATGCTTGGGAATGGCTAAAATTAAGGATAAGTTATGAATGCGTTTTCTTTTCGAAACTCTTTTCCAGGTGGTTGACTCAGAAAGGTGTTCGGCAGAAGAAGTTGAACGAGTGGTTGGGCAATGAAAACACTGAAGAGTAAGTCATTACCACAGATGGGACGCAGCAAAAGAATTTTGTCATTTTAGGAAAACGCATGACTTGCTTTATTTAGAGAACAAGTGAGGAATTTTACTGAGTTTGGAACATCTTGTAGGAGAAAATGTGTAAACTTAGTCTCATTATCCAGAGTTTTTTAAAGGGAAGGTTTAGGGAGGGCAGACAGAGATTTATGTTTTTCCCATAATGCTGTACTGTATCCATAAGGATGTCCCTAAATATCTGAAAAATCCCAACAAATGTTTGGAATAATAATTTTTAAAAAAGGACACGGGCTTTGTATATTTTTGAAGCTTAGGCCTATGTTTTGTTTGAATTATTTAAACACTGGCAAGCCTCCTACTCCATCAATTTCCTGATCTAAACTGGACAAACAGGATTATTTAATACCTTCCCAGCTACCTGAGCTTAGTTGCTGACTTGAGAACAAGAAGAGCGTAACTTACTGCTGCTCTTTGTCCAGAGAGGTTAGCTACGTGGAAGGCTCAACGGGATGAGAGGAACACTCAGGCCAGAGAGGCTGGTTGGGTCAGACCCACGATCACTGATCTGACTTGCTTGTAGGAGGGGCAGAAACAAGGTTGAAGCCACGGGAGGGACAGGGGGACAGGCTGGCTGCTCCCGTGTACTTCACTTAGCAACCTGCTCTTCTGCTCCTTAGCCAATATTCACTGGTGGAAGATGATGAGGATTTGCCCCACCACGACGAGAAGACCTGGAACGTCGGGAGCAGCAACCGAAACAAAGCCGAGAACCTACTGCGAGGGAAGCGAGACGGCACTTTTCTGGTCCGGGAAAGCAGTAAACAGGGCTGCTATGCCTGCTCTGTGGTGTACGTATCTCCAGCACACCACTTGTCCGGTTAACAGCTCCTGAAGAGGTGTTTCATTCAGCCAGCCGAGGGGGCAAGGATTTTGAAAGAATTCTGATCTGAAAGGATCTTACAGTACAACCATATAGAAGGGGAAATAAAACAGACATAACATTTTAAAGTCTGTTGAGAGAGTGTAGTAGGAAGAAACCTGCATTTTAGTTGCAACTACTTTGTTTTTTTTTTTCCATCTTTAAAATGGAAATGCAGTGCTTGCTCTTTATTTTTGCCTCCCAAGCCTACTAGAGGTAGAACCTGAGGGAACTCACATGAGACCACCACCCCCAAGTAAAAAGTCCCCATCAGGAACAGATGAAAACAAGAAAAAAGACCCCCGGTCACTGCCCTTGAGATAATTATACCCAAGAGAAGACATTTTTGTCATATGGCATGTTTTCTTGTTGTTTACTAGTGGTCTGGGAAGTACTTGGGCTGAAAAGTGAGTTTGGGATCACTAATATCACTTCAGAGCGGGCGAGCGCCCCCCTGGAGGGCGAGGCTGTTAAAAATACGTGACCCTCCCGGAGTTCCCTCCCTGGAAGCAGAGAAACAGTCCTGTAGGAAAGAAGTGGGAAGAACCTGGAGGGAGGACCAGGGGATAGAGTAGAGAGTAAATGCCAAGGTGGAGAGGCCTGTAGACATTTGAAAGCCAGCCTTAGAGAAGGGATCGTGTCAATAACCAGTAACACTAGGACTGGTCACACAGTGGCACTGATGCTGACGGTTGGCAGCTGCCATTGCTACGTGCTTATTACTGCATTCCAGGCATTCTATGAAGTACGTCATCTCATTTCTCAAAGCTGCCCTGTGTCACATACATTACTATCATCTTCCTTTTAAACCATTTTAAAGATAAAAGTGCAGCAGCTCAGGGAAGCCCAGTTTCCTACCCAAGTCACTCAGCCAGTAAGGGACAGAGCCGAGCCGTGAGCCTCACAGCTAACCTAGGACTGCTCCCCACGCGGAGACTGGCCGGCATCAAGTGTCCTTTTTGATGTTGATGATTTTGTTAAAAACACCTGCGGTGTCTCGCTCTGTCAAGGTCAAAACGCATTTGCTCTCTCTCCTCTGCAGGGTGGACGGCGAAGTAAAGCACTGTGTCATAAACAAAACGGCGACCGGCTATGGCTTTGCCGAGCCCTATAACCTGTACAGCTCCCTGAAAGAACTGGTGCTCCATTACCAACACACCTCCCTGGTGCAGCACAACGACTCCCTCAACGTCACACTAGCCTACCCGGTATATGCACAGCAGAGGCGATGAAGCGTGGGCCCTCTGATCCTCCTCCTGAAGTTCAGCCACCCTGAGGCCTCTGGAAAGCACAGGGCTTCTCTCCAGCCTGACCTGCGAATTGAGCTGCGGAAGCCAAGCCGTCTGTCTTCAAATGGGACTCGAGCTTTCGACAAAAGCAGTAGGGGAAGACATGCAGCCTAGCACTGTGCGATGACCAGACGTTTCTAATCTGGAGTGCTTATCCTTCCTTCCTTTCCTTTTTTAAAAATCTTTTGGTTTAATTTAAAGCCACCACAACACACAACACAAAGAGAAAAAGAAATGCAAAAATCTCTGCGTGCAGGGACAAAAGAGGCCTTTACCCATGGTGCTCGTTAATGCTTTCTGAAGCTTTACCAGCTCGAAGTTGGGACCTTGTACACCAGAGGATGGATGGGGCTGCAGAGCCCTGGCCGGGGAACGCTCGGTCCAGCCTGGTTTAGCCTGGGTGTTGCTGTGCACGGTGGACCCAGACACTTCGCACTGTGGATTATTTCATTTTCTAACAAATGAACGATATGTAGCAGAAAGGCACTTCGGCTCACAAGGGACACTTTGGGAGAATGTCCGCTCACGTATGTTCAGAGGAAATTCTGTTGTAGCAAAGTGCCAGAAAGCGTTCTGTTTAAACTTTTCAACAACAAAACAAAACCCACCAATGGAAAAATGGAACTTAGAAAACAGGACTTAAAATGACATTTTCAGTATATAAAATATGTACATAATGATGACTGACTATCAAATAGATGGATTTGTATCAATACCAAATAGCTTCTGTTTTGTTTTGCTGAAGGCTAAATTCACAGCGCTATGCAATTCTTAATTTTCATTAAGTTGTTATCTCAGTTTTCAATGTACCTTCAGAATAAGCTTCCCCTACCCCAATTTTTGTTGCTTGAAAATACTGTTGTCCCTGATTTTTGTGTTAATATTCATTTTGTTATTCTTTTACTTTTTTTTAAAAGAAGAAATGTACAGGATGCCAGTTTAAAAAAAGGCTTCAGAATTAAAACTATGAAATATTTTACAGTTTTTCTTGTACAGAGTACTTGGCTGTTAGCCCAAGGTTAAAAAGTTCATAACAGATTTTTTTTTTTTTTGGACTAAATGTTTTGTTGGGCAGTGCCTGATAAGCTTCAAAGCTGCTTTATTCAATAAAAAAGAGAAAGATATATGAATATGACAAAGTATCGCTGAGTTCAACAATATTGTTTCAAGACTCTTAAAATACGGTACCTGGCAAGTGTGTTTCATAAAGAATTGTGAACTTCTTGAATCTAGGGTGGGGATGTAGCTAAGGGATGTACAGGTGGGGTGGGGGGTGGGGTGGTGGAATGCACTTTCTCTTTCTCATGATTAGAGGAAAAATACCTAACTGCAAAGTGAAGTTGCTTATACTTCAGTCTTTCCCACTTTGATCTGCTAGTTATTATCAGTTATGACAATTACAAATCTACTAGGACGCTAACACAGTGTAGCCGGTCAGATATTTCAGTTCTTAGAAAGGAAGGAAGGCACCCAAAACAGCGATCCACCTTTGTTGGGAACGCTGATTTCAAGGTTTAATTGCTACATTTAGAAAATATGTCTCTTTTTAACATTAGACTACCATTACAAACAACAAACATCCATTTTAGAAAAAGCATGATCTGAAAAAGATTTTTATCTGGCTATTTGGTATTTTCCTAGCTTCCCATTCATGTTAGACCATAAAGCAAATAGGCATGGTTGCTAGCTGTTACTGCTCTGGGCTATGTGGAGCTTGTGAAAGTCATTGCCATTTCAGGAATCCTAACAGTCCTTCTCGTTCATCCAAATAATTGTAGGTGGTATGCTTCACTGTGGGGAAAAGGAAGGGGTTCTTAGAGGTGTTGTTGCAATTTAGGGCAGGCACCAGTGAGAGGTCTCCCTGATTCACATATGCAAAAGCCTTTCTGTTCAGCAGAAGTTGTGCATGTATTGGGAGGAATAAAGGGTAATTATAATGGTCACTGCGCTGGTAGATTAAAAGGGAATCTTACAGTTTCAGTTTTGCTTTCTCAACATTAGATTCACTCACACCTTTATTTCTCTTTCCTTCAAATATTGGGGTTGAGGGGCTCTGGGTTTTTTTTATATGTGGTTCCTTTTAAAATTCTTTTGAAATTTAATCAATTGTAGAATGTACTTTTTTCTCTCTTTCCATGAAGCTACTCATATCAAGAGCAATAGTCTTACAGCAGACCGTCAGCCCTCAAACGTGACTGTGCTGATCTGACATCTCCCTCTCGTCTCTAGACAGTTGATGACTTTCCTGGTTTGAGTCTGTGAGTGTCTGATTTCAAACTATCCTTGCACGTCACACAGAAGTCTAACAATTAGTTAATATTAGTTTATAAACTAGGGTTTGGTTTTGTTTTTTTTTTTGGTAGCACATCCATGTATGCTATTAAGTATAAATAATTTTCATTTAATTTCTAAAATATTAGCTCTAAGATGGAGTATTTCATTAATAGTTACACTTCATAAAGACTTTCATTAGGGTTTTTGCTTCAACATTTCACCAGGTGACATGGTCTCAGGCATCCGCCTTACTTTTGCCTCCCACAAGCACAAACAACAGATGTCCTTTGAACCGCAAAGGCAGGACTCCTAACTCCCTATCGCAGTGAGTTATGCCACCCCTATGACGTCACACCTCTGCCAGGTGCCTTGATTGTGCGTAGCATGCCCGCCACCTACATCCTTCTAGATGTTTGACCAGCAGAGCTCTCTGGGTTCCTTCAGACAGTCACCTCCCACCCACACTGTCTCAGTGGCTCACAGGTATGAATAGGCGGAACAGAGGCACTCCGGTCCGTGCCCTTACCCATCCACTGATTTTCCTCACCCACCAGAGAAAGCCTCCAAAAAAGAAAAGCCAGAAGCTAAGCTGCAGAGAGACTGTGACAGGACTATAGAGGTGGGAGCATTAGGATCTGATATTAGACGTGAGAGAAAAACTGTAACCACATAAAAAGGCAAAAAGCATGCATTTGCAACATCTGACAACTTCATGGCCCTTGATATATGTATATATGTATATGTGCATGGACTGTGTTTCCAGTACACCTTTCAGCCAAAACAGATTCACAGTCGTCGAGTTCAAGTGCATAACAAGCAAATGTCGAGTACAGTTCTTGTATATGTGTATGGGTTTTTTCCTGTGAATTTGCTTTGTTTTGTCTTATAAAGGTGAAAATTGTTTGCAAGTGAAGTGAGAAGTTCATAATTCTTTGGCTTTTTTTCCCCCTGTTTTTAAAAGTTACTCCTTTTGGGAAGCTAGTCTGGATGACTCGCTTACCTTGGAAATCCTTGTTTTCAATGTGTCAAGTCGAAATGTGTTTCTGTGAGCTGTCACTGTAGGGAGCCAATTGCTTTGTCATATAGCTGGTGATGAACTAGTAACGTGTTTGGGAAGTCCTACTGATGTTCCTTATTGGGAGAAAAATTCTGCTGGTTTTAACAACTGTGCTTTTGCTATGCATGGTATCCAGGTCAGCTGGAAAGAAGACCCTGAAATTTGAGTTCAGGGTCACTTAGGAAAGGGGCAGTTTAAAGCACAATGCCTCACACGGGACAAAGTTCCAAAATGCCAAATTCTTATTTTTTAAAAATCTAGTTATGTAAAATACTAGTATGAGTGGGGGAGGGAACAGAATTGGGTTCATTGGAAACACTATCCAACTTAACATTAAACTTGTCACCATGAGATAGCATTAGCTACCCAGGATGCTGCTATTAAAAAAAAACAAAAACAAAAAAACTCATTTATATGTGTGTATTTTTTAAAGCTACAATCTGTTCAATGTTTTTACAAATCTGTTTATATGACATTGTTAAAATAAAGTTGGTCTTTTGACAAGAGGGAGGATGTGATGGTCAATGGTAATTTTGCCTTTACAAGGCAACGGGGGGTGGGGGGAAAGTGTGCCTCCTTGACAATTGGTTCAAGCTATAGATTTAATGGAGCTATGTCTTGTTGTTTTAAGTTGCTTTAATGCATTGTATTAGGTCTTCAAACAGAATAAAGGTTGTTTTGAAACTTAAGTGATGGTTTGAAAGTTCAGTTATCGCCTCAGAAATATTTCTGAACCACCCTCTTGCTCTTTTGATTATTGGAAGTTGCCGTTTCTGTAGTCTCCCACCCACCCCCTCATTCTATTATCTCACTTTTTCAACGTGAGAAGGGCATTAAGAGTGGTCACATGAATGATGGCTCCGTGTTTACATGAGTACACCCTGTTCTTAATGATGAAATACCTCAAGGTGATGTCACTTCAAGGCACGTTCTTGCTGTAAGAAAACATAAGAATGCCCGCTGTCCTCAGTCCCTCTCCTCTGCCGTCCGTCTCTGAGCCTTCAGAGTCGCTCTCTACAAACTACGGCTGGTTAAGGAATCGGTTTGTCTCTGTCCTGCAGTTTGCAGACTGAACTCAGTGCAGGGACAGCACGGGGCTTTGTGCAGCATGCAGAGTGTGGCCTGGGGTTGTAGACAGGGAGCTCAGCACCCTCCAGAATCAGGTTTCACATTGCAGCACCTAGTTAATCTGAAATAACGTTTCCATGTTGTTTTCCTTGCTGAGTGAATTTATGGCAGTACCACTCGGCATGTATACGGTGCTCACTTTACCTGTAGGCACAGTGAGAGTCTTAGACATGAAGACGGTCTAGTCACGGAGGTGAGAGGGGCACATAAATAACTACGGTCATGGCAACAGTGACAGTTTCTGTGTACGGCAATAACGCTGAGATTCACGTCTTGCTTTTCTCCTGCTCTGTCCTGTACTGCAGAGAACTGTATCCGCAGGGTCTTTGCCCTCTGGCTGCTGGGAAGTCAGGTTCCTGCAGGGCCCCAGCTCCTCAGGCACACCCTCTCTCTTTGGGGTCTCAGCAGTCTTACTTTGCCTTCCCTCTCAGTGGAAGCCTCTGGCTTCTGAGCTCTGGCAACACTGCCTCCTCCCATTTCCATTCTAGGCTCAGGGGTGGTGGGTAGGTAGCTGCTTTCCGCTGTTGCTGAACATCTGGTTTTTCTCATTAGCCCTGGTTTGGTTTCCAAGCCTTTCCACCACCTGAGTAACTATTTCTCTTTATTCAACTCAGTAAGAGCTAGAGTCATTTCTTTTTATCCCTGACTGATCTCTGTCTGATATACCAAGTGATTTTTATCCATTAAACACTTTGCATGCATTATCTGATACAATCCCTCCACAACTGAGTTAGAAGATAATACCCCTGCCCCCAACTACCTTCCACAGGTGAGAAAACTGAAACATGGATGCTAAATGACTTAAGAGCGTGCAGCAGTCCCAGCACAGAGCAGAGCCCTAGGCAGTGGCACTCAGGCCACAGTCCCTTGCCCCTGTGCTGTAACCCCCGTGCAGTGGAAAATGTCCCCGGGACAGGGGTGTCCAACCTTTTGGCATCTCTGGGTCACACTGAAAGAAGAAGAGTTGTCTTGGGCCACACATTTAATACACTGCAACACATAATCACAAAAAAAAAAAAAAAAAAATGATGCTTTAAGTAAATTGATGATTTTGTGTTGGCCTGCATTTACAGCCATCCTGGGCTGCCTGCGGCCTGCGGGCCGCGGGTTGGACACCCCCGCTGGGAAGTTCAAGGAAAAGTTCAGTGATCACTCTTCCTGCCGAGGATCTAAGCACGTGGCTCAGTTGGTGGGCAGGACACAAGCGGGTAACAATGAATGGCAGGAAATGGCGTGGGCTTGCTTTCTATCGGTGGTTCCCAAAGTGTTGTCCCCACACTGGCAGCATTAGCATTGTCATCACTGCTTGGAAACCTGTTAGAAGTGCCCGTTCCAGGGCCCCACCGCTGGCCTGCCGACACTCAAATCAGGACCTGGCAAATCTGTTCCAACAAGCTCCCCAGGTGATTTTAATGCACACTGAAGTTTGAGACTGACTACCTAAGGTCACCCGATTGTTGAAAAACGGTTCTTCTAGTTTACTTTACATAATTTATGCTCATAATGTACAGGAAAGAAATAGACTGATTAACAGCTTAGGAAGCTCCGGCTGGTCTTTAACCTGCCTGTGGAAACGTGACGAACTCAGTTTACCTGTCTAGGCCTCCAGCTCCCTATCTGTGAAATAAGGTTATGAGTCTGGATGGTCTCCAGGGCTGCTTCTAGACCATGTGCTGTGACAAGATGTACTGAATGAGAGCGCTCACCCCCAGTTCTCCATTTACAATTTGGCCACAGTTACATCCCACAACGGGACTTGTGACTGCAGACCACTGCTGCTGACTGAATATTGGCCCTTCATGTTATCGGTGACAATAGCCAAGAAAACATTAGCAGAATTAGGGTCCATTTATCTTGCTAATGTCTTAAAGCTACACTTTAGGTAAATCAAAATGGGCAGCCAAGTTCTTGATAGTGTGGAGGGAAACATGCTTGGAGATGACACTTGCACATCTATCTAAAGCACAGGGCACTCAGTCAGAGAGCTTGGCC